CCTCGCCCATGACGACACGTGATGGTTGTCGTCAAAGCCCGCCCAATCAACGTGGGTGCCGTGGGAACCGATGGCGTACTGATGGACAACATTCAGACCAAAGTAGCGCTGCAACACGATGGAAACTCGCGAAGAAATGCTGGGCTCCTCCTGGAGTTCAGTCAGCTTGGAGTCACGTTGAGCTTTGGCCGCCCACTGAAGGCCATTCGCCAGCGCCTCGCTGCGCTCCCACTGGTCATCCGCGCAAAGATCATCAATGCGCTTGACAATTTTTGCTGCAAGGTAGTGGTGGCTGCAGGGAAGCTCTGCGACCACGGAGCCAAGGACTTCATTTGCAGTGGTCAGAGACAAGGTTTGTGAGGGCGCCTTTGAAGGCATCCGGCCACGTGAGTCGGACGGTGGTAGCAGTGTCCATGTAAAGCCTGCACACGCATGTCAACCAAAAGACGATCCTGCGCGTGAGTCTTGCCCGACAGGTGCTTACCGATTGTAGTAGGCGCGCGCGGGTACAGTAATGACCAAGTGCAGACGTAATGTGGGGCCAGGTCACGACAAACACACCTTCCAGGGGGTACACTTCGTTCATCCTCTCGGCAGAGGGCATGTTGTCGACTTCGTCGACAAATGCTTCAAAATCAGCATCATCCATTGCCATCAACTTGTTCCATAAAGCCTTTTCGTGTTGCAGCCCAAGGTTGGCAAACATGCCCTTCAAGACTTTAATCTGTCAACCGGACCACGTGAGCAACAGAGGCAGCAGGCCTTGTCGGTTGTAACGAATCGAGACGAAACACGACGAACCTTGCCGCGACCTGTTTTCCGTTTGAGCTGTGCTTCCTTGCGCTCCTCGGCGGCCAGCCTCTGCTGCTCGAGCTTGCGCTCCTCGGCTTCCGCGGCCAGCCTCTGCTGCTCAAGCTTGCGCTCCTCGGCCAGCCTCTGCTGCTCAAGCTTGCGCTCCTCGGCTTCCGCAGCGAGCCTCTGCTGCTCAAGCTCAATGAGAGCTTGGATCTGAGCTTGGATGTGGCGATGTTCTTCCTCGCTTGTGCTTTGGAGCTGCATTTGCTTCATTTGCTCCATCAATGCTGAAAATTCAGCCATGATGCACGGTGCCAAAAAAAAAAAAAAAAAAAAAAAAAAAAAACCAGCAACCAAGTTCAAAAAAAAAGAAGAAAAAAAATGGAGAATGGAAATGACTGACTTTTATTTATGTTCAACGGTCCATTTTGACATACGCTATAATTAGACGAAGAGGTGTTGTTTTTTTGATTCTTCTCTTCACACACTCGTGTTCTGTGTCCTTGGCACTGCGCTTGGGCGACATGGCCACCCGACCCAAGGGAAAACGTGGAGCTCGGAGCGTCGCCGCAATCACGCACGCCCCGCTGCTCGGGCCCAGATGTCAAGAGATAATGGAGAGTCGTCCAGCTTCAGCTAAGCCGATTGGCACCGGCAGTCAGGCCGCGATCATGCTCGATCGCATCAAATACAGGGTTGAGAGAATTGTTAAACAGGGTTGAGAGAATTGATAACCAATCAATTCCGATACAGTACGACGCCAGGTGCACCATCGATTGGGTGGCACAACTAGGGATCGGGACAGGGTTTGAAAGCCGCAAAGGCGAGAATGACGGGCGAAGCTACGGCCGAGTCAACGGTTAGGCGGGCTG